GTGCCCGCGCTATCAGGCCATACGTTACGGACGGTGTTGAGTGCGGCCGCCGATGGGCGGAGTGCCAGCGTGGGGACGGACCGGGACTGGCCGGCTGACGGGTGCGGCCGCGGTGGATCTGCGTTTGCGAGACGGCGCCGGGACGACATGCGTGGCCGGAGCCCGCCGTAACCCGAAAAGCACGTTCTGTAAGCTGAGTTGCGGCCGCGGCCTGACGTGCAGTGTCCCATAAATCGGTGGATATTGCGCGACCACATGGGCTGATGAGAAGCGAATCCTCCACCGGGGTGCTCACCAGCAAGTTATGCGGCGGCACGGGCGATACAAAGGTGTGGGGTCCGCGTCGGTGACGGCATTGGTCAGACCCGTGCTGCCCCGGCGCGAGTCGGAGCCAGCGGAACACCTCAGACACGGGCAGGGCAAGGCCAGCCGGCACCGTATCCACGCCCCGCACCTGTGCTCCGTGCCCCGCCCGCTCTGACCGCGGCGGCCGGCCGCTCGCGTCCGGTGGTCGGTTGTAGGGGGCTCTGAATGAGGCAGCTCTGGTGTGAGAGGGGCGCCGCCGCCGGCAGGTCGCCTGCCAGCGCGATGGCGCGATCGGGACGGCTCAGCGTGATGGGCGGCGACGTGAGTCGTACAGGAGTTCCCCGGCGCAGCACCCTATTTCTCCATGCAGTAACGGCCCGCGTGGCCCGGGTCGTTGTGCATGGGCTGGACGCCACGGGGACGAACTGGCGGGCCCGCGCCTTCCTCCGGGTGGGATTTAACGCGGCCCTCTCAGATCGCGTGTCTTGGTGGAACACGCGGAGCGCCGCGTTCCGTGGCGTCCGGAGCCGGAACCTGGCGCGAGCAGCGCGGGTCCGATGGCTTTGCAGTGCCGTGCCGGCGAGGGGCGCCACCTGGCGCACGGGGGGGGAGGGAGGGGGGGGGGGGGCGGCACGGAAGCCAGGCAGCCACTCGGCGGCGCTCCCGTCTCTCTGACTGTACGGTGAATTGCCTGCGATCAGATGGCCTCGCCTGTTCTCGGACGAGTCGGGTCGGGCCAGGAGGCCCGCGGCGTCGGCGCGTCACGGCCGGGACCGAGCGCGGCCGCCCGTGACGTGCCGCGTGCGTCGTGACGGGGCTGCGCGCGCGCGGCTCACGCGGCCGCGACCTTCTGCCCTCAGGCCGACGGCCAGGACGGCCGCCTCCATCATCCTGCGCGGCCCGAACGACTTCTACTGCGACGAGATGGAGCGGTCGGTGCACGACGCCCTCTGTGTGGTGCAACGCGTACTCGAGTCCAAGTCGCTGGTGGTAGGGGCGGTGCCGTCGAGACGGCGCTCTCTATCTACCTGGAGACTTCGCTACGTCAATGGTGAGTGGGCGCCCGGGCGGCGTCGAGCGAGGCCGGCGACCGGGCGGGCGCCGAGGTCGCCCTCGGCGGTCTCAGCACGCCGGATTGGCGCTTGAACAGTTCGGAATAGTTCTGAGAGTTCTGAGAGCAGGAGAGCTCTGATCAGTTCAACCGCAGGTCTATGGATGGCGCAGGTACCAAGAACACGTGCTGGCGATTGCGAATGGATTGCGAGCCTCAGTCAAGCGGATGGTGCTGTTTGGTCCCGCTGACTCTCATATAAGTGCACTTTTTGCTCGTGCTACACTTGTTACGATCTAATGTGTCTCCCCAGCTTCGCTTTTGGAAACACTAAGTGAACTAGCACATTTGCGGTGCATGATTCAGCGGCGCACTTTTCTTAGGCAACTTGTTTCGTGTTGTAATGCATCTGAAGTAATCCGCTTTCGTCAGGACGGGCGCGAAGCATGTCGGGATTTGTCGGCGGCGCTGATCTTTCAGTGAGCTCTCACTCCGTGCGAGTTATTCAGATTAACTCCTGGGTTAGTCGGAAGTGTGATGAAGATCATGGTGCCACTCCACCACATGGTACGGGTCAGTGGAGCGCGCTGGCACCGCTGCAGTTGCGTGACATGAGTTTGACATCAGGCCAGTGTCCCATGTGTGTGAGCTATCTGCCGCTTGCAGAGCTCTCGGGAGCAGCTGGCCATCGCCGAGTTCGCCCACTCGTTGCTGGTCATCCCCAAGACACTGGCCATCAACGCCGCCCAGGATTCCACAGACTTAGTGGCCAAGCTTAGAGGTAATGGGCCGTCCCGCCCGCGCCCTTACCGGTGGCTCAAAGCATTCACGACCTTCGCGACACGGCGCCAGTCACTGACCGCTTTGCCTTGCGTTGTGGTTACGCAAGCTTGCACGCAAGCGCAATTTTGCTGGCATTTACTGGTTGTGTTTGCTTGCGTCCCGAG